TCCCTGAACAGATCTCAGAATATTCCACACAAACGGGAAGACAACTTGTCACCCCACCCAGGATTCTGGAAATCCCTGCCATGTCAGTCTGAGATGGCACCGCAGGAGGCCACTTCCTGAGTGGAGGAAGAGAGTTCTGTGCACGGAACTCCCCTGGGGGATCATTGGCGAGGCAAAACCTTTGGTACGGCTCAAACCCAGTTTGTGTGGCATAGACTCCGGTGGGGCTTGGATAGGCAGGTGCCACTTAACCAGGTCTCCTAAAACACCCTGTCCCTTTCCCATCATGACTGTGCCTGGCTGGAGACCGAGACACTCAGAGACTCCAGACAACATGACCCTGATGGGTAGCGGTGCTGGGATATTGGGAGAAGGTAGCGGGACAGAGCTTCCGGGATGGGGAGGCGGCGCCTTCTCTTTCGGGTCCCTGGGGAGTCACTGTGCACTCTGGGTCTCTGTTTCCTCATCTGGAAAATGAAGGGATGCTGAGCCTGTAGTGCAGCCCTCACTGGATGGAAATGAGGTTCAAGAAAAGAAAATAATTTGCTGGTGCTCATGCCTGGTTCTTTCTCAGAGGGATGAGGGGGAGAACAATGGCAACAGGAAACAGTACTCAGGCGGTCTTGTGAGGTAGCTGTGGTTTTCATTGCTCTTTACAGAAGAGGAAACAGTCTCAGGGAGGCCCGGCTGCATGAGTGGGTGACACACACAGGGAGTGTGGAGCTGGCCAGTGGTATGAGCACTGTGCCAGGTGACTCATGCCAGTCCCTGGGGATCCAAGTGTGGGGTGGCTGGGGTGTAACTGGGGGAAGAGAGGAGAGCCTCACTGTCTCCGTCACTGGCACCTGGCAGGCGGGGAGCTTTAAGGTGGCCACCCAGGAGAGGAACCCCCAGAGAGCCCAGATGAAGCTGCAGAGGCAGAAGAAGGTGAGTGAACCTTTGGTGTGGAGAGGCCGCAGGGGATCACAGGACAGGGCTCCCTTCCCTGCCAGCTGGAGGCCTCCATGTGAAGACCGCAAGGACTTACTCTCCAGTCCTGTCCTCCTGTGGACACTGGGCCTGGAAAACCTCCATTTGAGAGACCAGAGCAAGGATCTGGGAAAGCTGGACTCAGAGTGGATGTGGGGAAGTGTAAGGCTGGGATCACATGCCCTTGTGAATTGTTAAAATCCCACCGTAGAGGTAACTAGGAGTGCTTGCTAGACTTGGGGGTCAGGTGGGATAGAGGAGGTAGAGAATTGGGAAAGGCAGTGGAGGGTCTTTGGCTGATCCAACAGGGAGACCTGAAGAGGGGAGTTTCGGGAGACAGGGGCTGGTGGGACTTCATGAGACAGGACCTTGGGCAGGTACCTGAGGGCCAATACTCATCATCACTACACCTCCCCACTCCCACCCCTCCTTGGCACAGGGAGTGGTCCCCTTCCTGGGGGATTTTCTGACTGAGTTACACAGATTGGATACGGCCATCCCGGACGATCTGGATGTGAGTGAGCCTGAGGAGTTGGGAACCAGGATCCTGAGGGAGGAGAGGGTCCTGGACGGAGCCCTTAGATCTCAGCCCTTGGCAAACCTCCTCTCCTGAGAGCCTCACAGCTGCTCCTGTGGGTGGGGGTGTCAGGCCCATCTCATTACCTCTGACTCATAGAGGCTCCATAGCAGCCACCAGTCCCTATTCCCAATGGTGATGCTGCAGAGCTGCCTGACTGCAAAGCTGCTGAGGTGTGGGCTGAGCTGGACTTAGCCTTTCCCTAGAGTAGTCCCGTCACAGGCCAGGTGAAATTGAGCCTCTCCAAGGGCAGGCAGTTCCAGGGTCACTGAGCGCTTTCTTTCTATGAGAGATCTCAGTTTCCCTGTCTGTTATCACAGAGGGTTGGGGCAGAAAGTCCCTGAGCCTCAGCTCCTATGCCCCTGCTCTAGAACCCGGAGCCTGGGGCAGATCCAAGTCCTGTCATGTGCACATCCTCTGACTCTGGTGGCCCTGGCAGTAATGCAGCATGGGAAGGGGTGGGGTGGGGCTGGTTGTGGGCCAGGGACCTTTCTGATGGACTCTGTCTGCCTTCCAGGGCAACAGCAACAAGAGGAGGAAGGTGAGCAGCTGGGGCACTCACGTTGGATGAGGGTGGGGATGTGGACGTCACAGTCCACCCTGGACAGGACACTCCCTGGCTCCATCCTCTACATCTTAGGTTTACTGGGAGGGTTTGACACACACAGGAGGAGGAGACCTATCCCAGTGGAGAAAGCGGGAAATGGAATGGAATCAAAGACCAGTTCCTGCAGGAGGGGCTTTTTACATCCAACTCTGAGAACAGGCTGGGGGCTGCATGGGGCCCCCTCAGAAAACTGCCCCAGGCATCAGCCCCTTTTCCCTGCCTACCAAAAGTGCTCTCAGCATCTTCCACCCAGGCCCTGTCAGCAACCTCTCCTCTGTCTCTAGGAGGTCCGAATTCTGCAGGAAATGCAGCTGCTCCAAGTGGCTGCCATGAATTACAGGCTTCGGCCTCTTGAGAAATTTGTCACCTATTTCCCAAGAATGAGCAGCTCAGTGACAAGGAGAGGTGAGGGCCTAGCAGACGGGCAGAGGGTGGGAGAAGGCTCTCCATTTTTTTTTTTTTTTTTTTAACGTGGTCTGGCTCTGTCGCCCAGGCTGCACTGCAGTGTCACCATCTCTGCTCACTGCAACGTCTGCCTTCTGGGCTCAAGCCCTTCCTCAGCCTCTCAAGCAGCTGGGACTACTGCAGTACACCATGTCCCAGGACGTGGTACAGCATGTACAGACACCATGTCCTGTTGTTCTGCTGTTGTTGTTCTGGTACAGATGGGGTTTCACGATGTTGTCCAGGCTGGTCTCAAACTCATGGCCTCAAGCAATCCATGCACCTCAGTCTCCCAAAGTACTGACATTACAGGTGTCAGCCACCCCACCTGGCCTAGAGGAGGCTCTCCCTGTGGCAGCTGCAGAGAGCCTATGGCCATGACTCCATGGCCAGCATCAAGCCCTGTTCCATGGGGACTGCTGGGGACCCAGGATTCCAGCTGGGCAGGCACTGAGAGGGGACCTGATGTGTGGCTCATGGTGGCCTCACAGCTGCCTCACTGTCCTGCAGCTACAAGCTGTCCTGCCAGCTGGAGCCCGAATCACAGTAGGCCAGTAACATCCTGCAGTGGCTGGGACCCCACCGGGATGCTGGTCAGAACACCGGCTCTGCACCATCCTTCACCTAGACCGTGACACCAGGGAACCACATCTAGGTGGCTGGCAGCTCAGCTGCATCTGGCCCCTGCTCTTCGCGTAACACCAGCTGCTCCTGCTGGCCAGGATTAGGCCGTGGGACTTTTGCCAGGCAGGCGGGAGACCATTTTATGTTTAGTTTCTTTAGTGTATAAGTAAGGCTTTTTTTCTTAACTTTCATTAAAATAAAATTTTAAAACACTATTCAAAATGTTGTATAGTTGTTGCAATGAGAAAGGTAACCACGGTGCAGTAACTGTATACCAGTCTTCATGATTCATTGTCCAGTATGTCAAATTGAGGCTACGGCTGAACAAGTCATGCAACAGCATTTATGTTACACATGCCAACCATTTAATGTTTTCCTTCTTTGTTCTAATTAATTAGTGTTAAATCAGTTTAAGGAAAACAAAACAAAAAAACAACAAAGCAAAACCCTTAAAAATTAGAGCATGTTACCCAATCTACCACACTTGTTCTACTGACCAGCAACTCTCAAATTTAAATTCTAGTTAAATTCGAGTTTCACTGGGATACTCTATCTTCTTGAAGTTTAAATATTTAATGAATCACTTATATGTTTACTGAAGGTCTGGAGATGGGAGGTATTTAAGCAAGTGGTAGGGCTGGCCTTCTCCAGAAGTCCTGGGCAGAAGGGAGCTGGCCATCAGTCTCCATGAAACACAGATAAACTTTTTCCACCATGGATCTTCCCAGACTTTCTGACACCTCTCCTCTAAGTGAATATTAAGGAAGGAGAGAATCATTTGAACCCAGAATCTAAAAGGATGTCCCACGACTTAATTTGAACACAATCCCCAGTGTGTTATATGAGAGAAAAAACAAGCCAAAGAAGTCAACATTTCAGGGTCTGAAACATGTAATACCCCCAAATCAACACCAAATAAACACCTAAACCCAATCCTGGAGCCGCAAAGCTCCTATAAGAAAAGTGGGAGTCTGTATCTCAGCAAAACTTGTATCTCTACACGCAGTTTGCAAAAAAGAAAGAAAACAAAAGCAAAAATTATCTACGGCAAGAAACCCTTAGACCGTGCAATTGATTTGGCAATACTTTTTCTTATTTTTTGTTCTTTTTGGATGGGACACTAAAATCACTGCTAACAAACATGAATACAAACACATGGGACTATACATCATTTCAGAGCTTACGCATGGGGAAGAGGAACAATGAACCATTAAAGAAATCATCCTACAGATTGAGAGAAAGTTCAGCAGAATCTTACCTGTGAAAGGGGTTGTTATCTAACATGCATGAGAAACTAACACTACTCTAACTGGGAAAATGAACAAAACCTAATACCCAAGCTAAAACTGGGCAAGGATCCTGAACAGGCACATCTGAAAAGAAAACACGAAATTCACTGACAGGTCAAAGAGAAGCTGCTCAACTTCACTAATCCTCACACAAATGTCTAAGTACAAACCATGCTCAGAAGTGTCTCACTCTAATTAGAACGAAACTTACCAAAAACAACAGAAAACCCATACGTTCACAGGCAGTGGCCAATGCAGAACACCAGAAAAAGACACTTTTATACACTATCAGTGGCAATGTACATTACTATACACATGAAGCGAAACAGTTGAAGGTGTCTTACACATTTTACAACTATCCGTTCACCTAGCAATCCCACCACTGGAGATACACAGAAACCACATAGAATCTGTTACGTTGAGGAGGTATCAGCCTTCCTATGGCAACTGAAGCACTAGTCACAATGGCGAAGGTATTCAATCCACCTACCTGTTCGTGCACAGATGAAGGGATAAAGAAACTGCAGTACACAATGGAATCCTCTTCGGCCACAGAAATTCATGAAACCATGTCATCTGCAGCAACGTGCAGAACCCTGGAGGACATGACCCTCAACGAAATGAGTCAGGCAGAGAAAGCCAAACACGGCATGATTTCATGCATGTGAGAATGAGATCAACTTCCTCTCTAAACGACTTTATCCCCTAGAAGTAGAAAGTTCCACAGTGGTGAAGAGAGGCTGTGGGTTGGGAAGTCCTGGCAGGGATTGGGAAAGGGACACAATGTTACACTCAGATGACAGGAATAAATTCAGCTATTCTACTCCACAGCAGGTGTCCAGAGTTAACAGTATCCTACCATATTTTCCAAAAAAGACTGAAAAGAAGCATTCTGAATATTGCAACCATAGAGAACTAACAAATAACAACTACACAAGGTAACAGAGGCAGTCAATGCCTTGCTTTCATCATTACACAAGGTACATATGCATGGATCAAAATGTCCCACTCTACTCTTTAGTTGTAAACCTTTACTATAGAGCAAATTGGTTTTAAGCACATAGAAAGAAACAAAATGCTGAAGTATATGTGAGACCAGGAAATTCCCACATCTAATACACTAAAGAGCCACCACACAACACAAGAAATTACCAACAGAGTAGACAGACAACATACAGGATGAGAGAAAATGTTCCCAAACTATGCAACTGACCAAGGCCTAATATCCAGAACCTACCTGAAAGACCTTACAGAAATCAATTAGCAAAACCCCCCAAATAACTCATAAATAGGCAATGGATATAAATACACACTTCTCAAAAGATAATGTAAAAGCAAGCAACGAATGTGAAAATATGCTAAACCTAATTATCAGAGAAATATAAATCAAAAGCACAATGAGCTATCATCTCACACTGGTCAGAATGGCAATTACACAGTTAAAAAAAAAAAAAAGGACACGGATGAGGCAACAGAGAAAGGTGACACTGGTCCACTTTTGGTGAAAATGCAAAGTACTTCAGACACCATAGAAAGCACTTCAGAGATTCCTCAAAGAACTTAAACCAGAACTACCATCTGACACAGCAAGCCCACCACTGGGGTATACACAAAGGAAAATAAATCCTTCTGTCCAAAACACACATGCACACAAACGGTCTTGGCGGCACTCTTTACAAGGGCAAACACGTGAAATCAACCTAGGTATCCATCAACAGTGGATCAGCAAAGGAAAATGGGGTACATATATACCACAAAAAAACTAGGCAGCTTTAAAAAAAAAAAAAAAGACGCAAATCATGTCCTTGGCAGCAACATGAAAGGAGCTGGAGGCCATTATCTAAAGAGAAATAAGGAAAAAACGGAACACCAAATGCCACATGTTCTCACTTCTAAGGTGGAGCTAACATTGAAAACATCCTACCATAAAAGTGAAAACAACAGACACTGCTGACTATAAGACAACAAAGGAAGAAGGGATGGAGTATGGGCTATAGACCTACCTGGTCACTCCCTGCGTGATAAGCTCTCTGGGACCCCAAGTCTTAGTATCAGGCAATATACCAAAGGCAGCAACTAATCTGCCTTTGTACCTTTTAGTCTATAATAAACGTAGAAATCATGATAAAAAATACAAACTTAGGAGCTAAAACAATGAATGAAAAACACAAACTTATAATTATCCAAACAAGCTTTTATAGGCATAAACTAAGGAAGTGCTCAGAATGAGTAAACCACATACTCAACCCCAATGTACATATAGTGAACACATTTTTCAAAAGAACACCAAAAAGGCACAATGGGCAAAAGACCGCCTGTTCAGTAGATGAGTTTCAGCAAACTGAATATTCACATACAAAACACTGAAATGGGACCCTTATGTCATGCAAAACAAAAGTCAATGCAAAATACATTAAAGACCTAAAACTGAATTCTGAAATCACTACAAGAAAACCCCTACAAGAAAACACAAATCCATGCAAGTAGGCTGCTAAAGGTATTTAAAAAACAGTAAAACAAAGCAAACACTCTAAGAAAACAACCATAGACAATGTAATGCCTTGCCATTTTCACGGAAAAGCTGGGGACCCGGTTCCACAGAACAGTGGAACAGATTACAAGACCCAGATATAAACCTGTACACCTGAAATCATCTGATATTGAAAAAAAACAACAACAAAAAAGCAATGGAGAAAGGACTGCCTATCAGTAAGTGGTGCTGGGATAAGTGGCTAGCTAGATGCAGAAGAAATAACACTGGGCCCCTGTGTCTCACCATGTACAGAAAGCAACTCAAAATGAATCAAAGATTGAAATGCCAAACCCCAGGCCGGGAGCGGTGGCTCATGCCTGGAATCCAAGCACTCTGGGAGGCCGAGGCGGGCAGATGACTAGAGGTCAGAGAGTTCGAGACCATCCTGGCTGACATGGTGAAACCCTGTCTCTACTGAAAAAACAAAACTTAGCCGTAAATGGTGGCACATGCCTGTACTCCCAGCTACTCAGGAGAGTGAGGCAGGAGAATCACTTCAACCCGGAAGGTGGAGGGTACAGTGAGCCGAGATGGCTTCATTGCATTCCAGCCTGTACAACAGAGCGAGGCTCAGTCTCTAAATAGATAAATACATAAAAATTCAAGCTCTGAAACTATGAGAAAATCTTGTGTGAGAATCTAGCAAATACCATTTTCAACAGAGGCTTTGGCAAAGCATTTAAATGTCAACTCCCCAAAAGCAATTACTGATAAATGGGACCTAATACACAAAAAAGCTGCTGCACAGAACAAGAAACAACCAACAGAGTCAACACACAGCCTATAGAATGAGGGAAAATATTCCACAACTACACATGTGAAAAACATCTAATATCCAGGATTTATCGTAAAGACCTTCAACAAATAAAATCAGAAAAAAAAAAACCCAAATTATAAATGGGCAAGGGACATGAACACACACTTAAAAGGAGGTGTACCAGTAACCAATGAGAATGAAAGATGTTCAATCTCACTGATCATCAGAGAAACGCACATCAAAAACATACTGCGATACCACGTCGCACTAGTCAGAATGGCAATTATGACACACGGTCCACAACAACAGAGGCTGGTGGAGCAGACTAGCAAAGAAATGCAGGTCCACTGTTGGGGGAACTGCAAACTAGTTCAGACACCCTGGAGAGCAGTGTGGACATTTCTGAAAGAACTTAAAAGAGAATTACCACCCAACGCTTCAACCCCACTCCTAAGTATCTACCCAAAGGAAAACCCTTCCATCGAAAACACGCATGCACTCGTATGTTCACGGAAGTACTACTCGCAATGGTAAAGACATGGAATCAGCCTTGGTGCCCATCACCAGTGGATCAGAGAAAGGAAATGTGGTACATACACACCACGGAACACTACACAGCCATAAAACACAAATCCATGCCCTTACCAGAAACGTGGACAGAGCCGTAGGCCATTATGCCAAAAGGCAAGAACAGAAAACCACAATTTTCAAAACAGCTACACAGGTCAGTTGTGAATATTCTCTCCACAGAGAAATCATACGTCTGGAGCTCACAGAGATGCCAGACACTGCGACTTCATGATGATGCTACGTTTACACAGATCAATCCGCGCCTTGCGCTCGCTGGTTATACACATAGACGATACGACAATGAAACTGCTGTCCCACACCTTGGTAACATTCATTCTCACCAGAGACAGATGCTATCTCAGTGTGGTTTTGATTGACTTCTCGTGAGGATCAGTAATGTTGATTCAGAATCTTTAACCTGTGCATCCATCTCAGGTCTTCAGGTCCTTTGCCCAGTCTTACACAACAAATTGAAACAAGTTCACAATAACCTGGCAAATATCACTAACCACAAGCAAAATGTAAATCAAAACAACACTTAGACACCATCTCATTCTAATTGGAATGAGTGTTACAAAAAAAGACAAAAAACATTGAAAGAAAGGGAAATGCTGGTGTGTTTCCAGAGAGAGAGACACTCTTCTCCACAGTTCGTGAGAAGGTAAACTAGCACACACGATACAGAAACCACTTGGAGGTTCCTCCAAACCTTAAAAGACTCGAACTATCACTTCAACCAGCAATTCTACTACTAGGAATACACTCAAAGTCATTGAAATCAGGACACCAAAGATAGATCTACCCACCCATGTGGATTCCAGCACTGTTCCCAAGAGCCAGTGTAAGCATCAACCTACCTGCTTATCCACAGACGAAGGAAGAAAGAAGCTGTTCCAGATGTTCGCACCGGGATACTCTTCAGACAGAAAACCACAATGAAATCATATCATGGGGAACCACACGGTTGCACCTGGAGGAGATGATGGTAAATTAAATGAGTGAGGGGGAGAGAAACAAACCTTGAGTCATCTCACACATGCAGAAGCTGAGAAACTATATCAAAGACCTGGAGAGCACAATATTGGTTTCCAGGGATTGGGGGAAAAGATGGGTAATGGGCAGGGATTATAAATGGGTACAAAGTTACACATAAATTAGAAGAAGAAAATTCTGTTGTTTTATTCCAGTGCAGGGTGACCAGGGTTAACAGTATCAGCACATCACTTTCAAAGTAGCTTGAAAGGAGAATATTGAAAGGGTCCCACCATAAAGGAATAAATAATGGGAAAAGGTATCAGAAATACTAAAGCACCCTGATTTCATCATTTCACAATGTATGCATCGACCATAATGCCCCACTGTACCCTCTCACTGTATTGTTCCTTTACTATGGAATACATTTGTTGCAAGAAATAGAAACAGGTGATGCTAATATTCATGTGGGACCATGAAGCACCCTGAGTTTCATCCTCCACAATCCTGAGACATCCAGACTACATTGGACACATCACACTTCCTGATTTCAAATTTCATGGAAAAGCTAGGGACCGGCCTCCACACAGAGTAGTGGAACACAAGGCAGGACCAAGAAGTAAACCCACACGCTGAAAACTATCTGATCTAACACAGAATCCACCAAAGTAAGAAAAGGAAAAAGGACACCCTATTCAATCAACGGTGCTGAAATAAGTGGCTAGCCATGTGCAGAAGAGTAACACTAGGCCCCTACCTCTCACCAGACACAAAGAGGAACTCAAGATGAATGAAAAATTTCAACGGAAAACCTCAAACTATTAAAATCTTATGAGAAAACTTGTGAAATATCCTTCTCCACATAGGCTTTGGCAAAACATTTAGATGGCTAAGTCCTGAAGAGTAACGGCAACAAAAACAGAAATTGACAAGTCAGACCGAATACCTGAAAGAGCTGCTGAACAGCAAAAGAAACTACCAACAGAGTTAACAGTGCACACAAAGGGAGAACACGGTCCCAAACTGTGCATCTGCACAACATCTAATATGCAGAATCTACAAGGCCCATCAACAAGTCAACTAGGGAATATCCCATTAATAAACAGACAAGAGATGTGAACACACACTTCTTAAAAGTCAATGTACAAGCAAACAACATGTAGGAAAACATGCTCAAACTCACTATCAGAGAGCTGCCAATCAAAAACATTACAAGACGTTGTAATCCCATGGAGATCACAATGGTGAGGACCACGCAGACAAGGAACACATGCTGGCGAGGCAGCCGAGGAAACGAAACGCTGGTACGCTTTTGGGGAGGGGAGGGGAGGGGATTAAAACTAGTACAGACACCATTGAAAGCAGATTGGGGATTTCTCAGAGAGCTGAAAACAGAACTGCCATCTCACCCAGAAAGCCCTCTCCTGTGCATCTACCCAAAGAAAAATCAATCCTCCTATCCAAAAGACACAGGCACTCGTTATATTCATAGCAGTATTATTCACAATGTCAAAGATGTGGAATCAATCTACCCATCAACAGTGCATGAGAGGCCGGCACAGTGGCTCACACCTGTAATTCTAACACTTTGGGAAGCCAAGGCAGGTGGATCGCTTCAGTCCAGAATTTGAGACCAGCCTGGGCAAAATGGTGACATCCCATCTCTACAATAATAAAAAAATTAGCCGGATGTGGTGGTGGGCACCTGTAGAACTATCAGGGAGGATCACCGGACAACAGAAGGTGGAAACTGCAGGCCAGTGTCAGAAGTGAACCAAGGCCCAAATAGAAAACCAAATGCTACATGTTCTCACTTATAAGCAGGAGTTAAACTTTGAATGGACTCAAACATAAAGAAGAGAACAACAGACACCGGGAATGACCACAGACCAATAAAAAAACAGGGGAGAGGGAGCGTGTGCTGAAGACCCACCCTGTGGGCCCTCTGCTCACTGCCTGGGTTACGGGATTGTTGGGACCCCAAGTCTCAGGGTCATGCAATCAACAGATGTAACTAACTTACATATATACCTTTTAAACTGTAATAATAAGAGTAGAAAGTATTAAAAGAAAAATCCAAGGTAAGAACCAAAGAAAATAATCAATCAAAAAACAATCTGTAGTTCTCCAAACAATTCATGACTGTCACAAACACAGAACGAGGACCTAAGTGACACAATGAGGCAGACAAATACTCTATCCAACATGATGTGTAGGGAACACATTTTTCAAAACCCCAAAAAGATATAATGGGAAAGGGAGAGTCTGGTTCACTTATCGATTTTGAAAAAACTGAATATCCACAGGAAAAACACTGAAATAGGACCCTTACAATGTACGATACACAAAATCAACACAAAATGAAGACCTAAACTCAATCTTGAAACTGTAAAAGTCCTATAAGAAAAGAGAGTGGGTGAATATTTTAGGAAACCCTCGATCTATGCAAACAGGCTGCAAAAGGTAAAAAAGCATCATAACACTAAAAAAAAGGTAGGGAAACTACACCCACAGACAGTGCAAGGCTTGGCTCTGTGCGTGTGCGCGCGCACACATGTTTTTCTGTTATCATGGAAGCGCAGTGTTGAATACAAAAGTCACTGCTAACATATGCAACTATAACCATATGCGACTAGGGACACTTTACAAATTCTACAGGGAAAAGGAAACAATGAAACAAAAAAAAGGAATCCTAAAAGCTGAGAGAAACAATAAAAAATCCTAACCCTGAAAGAGGTTGTTATCTAACACATACAATAAAGTGATATTACTAAGTGAACAACAACAACAATAAAAACAACAAATATCCAAGTAAAAGGATCTAAATAGACCTGAGTGAAAAGATGGCAAGAAATGGACTCACAGGTGACAGTTCCTCAACATCACTAATCCTCACAAAAACATGAATCAAAACCATACTCGGTTACCATCTAATTCTACCTAGAATGAGTATTACAAAAGACAAAAATCAAAATTGTTGAAGGCAATGGTCAGCGTAGACTTGCAGAAAAAAAAAAAAACCTTCCACACACTTCGTGGAATGAAAATTATGTACACACTACAAAAACTTTTGGAAGTTCCTTAAAAAAGTAAAAGGTAGGCCGGGCACAGTGGCTCACACCTGTAATCTCAGCACTTTGGGAGGCCGAGACAGGTGGGATCACATGAGGGCAGGAGTTCAAGACCAGCCTCACCAACATGCTGAAATCCTGTCCCTACTACAAATACAAAAATTAGGCATGGTGGCAGGTGCCTGGATTCCCAAGCCACTCGGGAGGCTGAAGCGGCAGAATCGCTTGAACGCAAGAAGCGGAGCTTGCATTGAGCCGAAATTGCGCCACCGCACTCCAGCCTGGGCGACAAGAGCAAGACTCCGTCTTTTTTTTTTTTAAAAGAAAAAACAGACAACAAAAGGTACAAGTACAACTGCCACTCCAATAACAATCCCACCACTGGGTACATGTTTAGAGAAAATGAAATTCCTGTGTTATCTGCCTTTTCATGTGTCCTGAAGCCCTAGTCACAATAGCCAAGATGTGGAATCAACCTACCTGTCTATCCACAGATGAAGGGATAAAAGAACCACAGTATATATACACAAGGAAACACACTTCAGCTGTAACACTTCAGGAAATCATGTCGTCTGCAACCACTTGGAGAAACCTGGAAGACAATTAGGTGAAATGAGTCTGCCAGAGAGAGACCCACGCTGCATGACATCAGCTACATAGAATCCAGAAAACATTGTCTCTTAAAAGCAGAACTTCCAGTAGGGGTTACTAGAGGCTGAGGAGAGCAGAGAGCCTGGGTAGGGACTGGTAACGGGTACAGAGTGATGCTCAGATACAAGGAATCCATTCTGGTGTTCTATTGCACAGCAGGCTGACTAGGTGACTAGGGTCAACAGAATCTAGAAAAATTTTTCAAAATTAGCTGGAAAATACGGTTCTGAATATTCTCTCCACAGAGATAAAATAATGATGGAAGATCACATACATGCCAGATACAATGATTTCATCATAATGCTATATATAGATATCTCAAAATGTCCCTTGCACTTTGGGTTGTGTGTCGGGGGGGTATAATGTATACTCTATAGAAACAAAGTGCCATCAAATATTGGTAGTATTCATTCTAACCAGAGTGAGATGAAATCTGGTGTGATTTTCACTTACGCTTTTGTGTGCGTCAGCAATGGTAAGAATCTTCTCAGAGGAGGAACTTGTCTCCACAGCTGGTGGGATATGGTAAACTAGTATGCACACTAAAGAAACCACTTGGATGTTCCTTGAAATCGTAAAACTACAACTACCGTTTTATCTAGTAATTCTATTACTAGGTATATACACAGAGCACATGATCAGGACAGATGATCTGTCATCCCAGGTGGAATTCAGCCCTAGGCACAAAAGCCAAGATAAGAAATCAGCCTCTGTGTCCGTCCACAGATGAACAGATGAAGAATCTCCAGTACACAGACACAATGGAATACTTTTGGGCCATCAAAATTCCTGGAATCCTATCATTTTCAGCAACATGGCTGCACCTGGAGATATTCTGTTCAATCAAATCAGAAACGCAGACAAAGACCAAACCTGCATGTTCTCACTTGTGTGGGAGCTGAAAAACTTAACTCACTGAAGGTGAAAATACAGCAGTGGTCACCACAGGCTAGGTGGAGGAGAGGACATCAAGGATTGGCAATAGGTACACAGAGAGTTACAGGAGAGGAATACATTCTGGTATTCCAGTCCAAAGCAGGGCGACGATACTTAACAACATGGTCATGCCGTTTTCAAAAGAGCTACCAAAGAGGATACTGAATGTTCACACATCGAAGATACTAAACCCATACGTGCTCAGAGGCATGGGAAAC